TGCTGTTCTTCGTTGAGCTGCTACTGCAGCCTTCAAAGTTGGTTATGGGCGACGACACACCAACGGTGGACGATGATGGAGAGGTAGGATCCCACGAAGCGAACGCATCATCGATTGCCGTCCTCGCACCTCCACTCATGCTCTGCGAGGACTCAGGACTAGGGTAAGAAGCCCCATACATCTCCATCTCCATCTCAAGCATACTCCACGCGTTTGGCAGAGGGAAGTCAAACGCCCCACTCACAGCGCTCGGCGGCACGCTCTCAACCTCAGCAGCCGACGAAGGAGGCGCAGTCACCGCACTACTTGGCGCCTGATGATCGAACGTAAAGTCCTCTGCGGACCACGACGTCTGAATCTCAAGCTGTGGGTGATTGGGCGTTCTTGCAGAAGTAGTCTGCTGCTGGTGTTGCTGTGGCTGATAGTAATTCTGATGCAGAGCATCGAACAATCCTAGCATATCCGCATAGTTGTACTCCATCTCCTCGACACTTGCACTTGAGGGAGCAGCGGAGAACGGTGCCGCCTCGAACGGATTAGGGTTCGTCGGGTGCGCGGTAAGTGGGATCTGGGCATCTCGTCCATCTGGCTGCGAGAACACAAAACCAGTGAAATCCTTTACAAGCAAGTCAGACTTTTACTCTTCAATTAAAATGGCAAAGACACTTACAACCTCACTAGACATGTCCGTCAAAGTTGACTGTCTCGACAACCTACCACTCTCCGACTGCTGTCCATAGCCAGTATTGTAGCTAACCTGTGATTCAGACTGATCGAACTCGAGGCCGAGTCCCAAGTCTGGAGTCTGGCTCTCTTGATGCTCATGCAAGCGTGCTTGTGTCTGCATTTGCGCTTGCATGTGCTGCAGGTGAGGATGAGCTGCACTGTAAGCCTGCATGAACGGCTGCAGGTCATGCACCTCAGGGATTGGGGTGGGGAATAGAGAAGCGAGGTGCGGATGCGCAATCGGTTGTGTGAAGGAGTATGACGGTCGGCAGAGATGCGCATCAGACGAGGCACTATGCTTTCGAAGCGCAATGCCTTCTTGAAGGTGTGTAGTCTGCACGTAAGTGAACAAAGACTGTGTGTATGCCTGGTTATGCTGGGTCGCGTCCTGCCCGAACTGGAAGTCGTGTTCCTGATGTTGACCAAACTGGAAGAATTGTTGCGATTGTGGTTGAGGATGGTAGAAATGTGAGTGTGCGGAGGGGTAAGTGGGTTGAGGAGCTGATATGGGCATGCCTGCGTCAAGCAGGGGAGCCGAGCTTGATCGTCGAACACGTCTGGGTCGGAGCATAGCAAGTGCAGCAGGTTGTTGTTGATTTTGAGTCTGAGCATCGGATTCTGGCACGGATTGAGGAGGCAGCATCGTTAGTTCGACAGTTTTCTCTCTCCTTTCGGTGATGACTTCCTGCTCATCCTTCTCAGTCTTGACTGCCTCGACATCCTTCTTAGCCTCCTTCTTCGAGTCCTTGTCCTTCTGCGGAGTGTATGCCTGAGCAGTGAGAGGTACCTCGAATTGAGGAGTAAAGGTCTGGGGGGCATGGGCTGCGTCGAACTCCTTCATTGCAGCATCGAGTTCCGCACCTTTGAGTCCACGCGTGAGGAGGGCAGTGATGTGTTCGCAGCGCTGCAAATCACGCGGGTCGACGGTGCGCGTCTTCCTCTTCGGCGGCAGCGCAGTAGCATCGGGCGTCGACGCCGGCGTGCTTTCACGTTCCAGCTTCGACACATTCGAGTTCGTCGAGTCCTTCGACGACGCCGCATTTTTGTCTTTCACCGGCCGGAAGCTATACCCAGGGTACATCCTTTTATGCTCTGCATATGCTCTCCTAGCCTTGGCTTGCCAAACCTGACGTTCCTCATCCGACAAATTATGCCAGAGCATGCCAACGATCTTGGAGAGTATGCCAGATTTACTTTCCGTCTCGGCGCTGACGTGCTGCAAACGGATGAAAGAGGATCGGAAGAGGATAAAGGCGTTGGGAGGGCGGGGTATATGTGCTGGTGCGTCCGTGGTGCTACTCGAATCGGATTTTGATGAAGGTTCCGGGGAGCCAGGTTTGGATGAGGGACAGGAGGACTTGGCTGAGGATTTTTTGACTGATGGTTTGGTAGGAGAGGGCGCGGAAGAAGCAGGAGAGTTGTTATTTTTCCGTCGACGCTTCGCAGCCGGCTGGTGGTGATGGTTCGTCAACGAAGACGCATCATTACCGCTAGCATCGGGGAATAGAGTTGTTCCAGTTGATTCGAAGCCATCGGCGCCGTTGACGAGTCCATTGAGTAGGTCATCGTCGGAGGGTGGAGGAGCGGTGAAGTTTCCAGGTGTGATGTTGGATGCAAAGCGGATTGTAGGTCGGAGAGCGAGTGTGCCTTGGGTTGGGAGGGTGGTGGTGGGAAGGGAGGAGGGAGCAGAGTAGGGAGAGGCGAAGGTGAGCTGGAAGGCTGTTCGTTGTATGCGCGACTTGAGTTAGAGGGATTGCAAAAAAGAGTGAGATGGGAACTCACAGTGATCTTCAGCCATGCTCTGGCTCTGGCTCTCTACTGCTGCTTCTGTGCAATTGCTGCTTGCGCGCCTCTTCAACGGATGCACTGCTCCAACCATTATCAATTCTTGTCTTCACCATAGATCTGTGTGAGTGAGTGTGGATGTTCACCACTGTCAACGCAGCAGTATAGTTATGAGCACGATGAGCAGGAAGAGAGACTGGAGGCAATAAGAGGGGGATCGAAGGGAAATACAAAGAACATGCTTATAGTTATATATTCCACCTCTCCTCGGGGTCCTGACTGACGAGAAGAGGTCTGACGTTACTGAAGGGAAGACAAGAATCTTATATCCTCAGTCTTCCTGCGCCTCTATGATTCTATTGCCTTGCCATCACTTGTTGTTGTGTTCCACACGTCTCTCAACATGCAGCACTAGCACTTTGACCAGTTGCTGTAGTACATACACCTCCATAATCCATGCGTTTATCATCTGCCAATCTGCTAGTCACTTCACCTCCTTGCAGCTTGCAGTTCACACTCTACAGTGTCCAGAAACACTGTAAGGCACATCATTTTGAAATCAAGAGTTGATATATAGTATGAATCCTGTATGTGAATCTATGCTGGTCAGACCAACAGGCAGGATTCACATCATGACCCACCTTCCAGAATTGTAAAGTGAATTGTGCCTTGAATTGTAAAGTCTGACCACTCTATTTTTATTCTGTCAGAAATCAAATGGAAGTGTATCAAAATGCAAATACATATACTTGAATTATAATTCTTTCAAGACATTTGAACAATATGAAGACATCAAGTTATTCATAAGATTGTGATAACATAGTAAGAAGATAAGACAAGATACACAAGATAGCAAACAACAAAATGTGTAGTAATAGGGTACAGAACAGAAATGTCAATTTTTTTTGAGATACTTTAGGGTGTGGAAAAACAAAGAATGCAAATAGAGACTATGTAGCACATTTATGGAAGTATGTCAGAGCAGTGTTCAAGCATACT